TCCCATTCCAAAAAAAATAAATTCTTAATGAATTCGAAATTCAATTAAAGAGCGCCCCAAATATTGCTTACATCGATGCCAGCCGCCTGCAGGCACTTTCTAGTGCTCCATTATTTCCGCGTGCAAAATATAATTGAATCAAACCGATAACGAAACCGACCAACTGGCAATTCAAAATCATTTAAATTGCAATAGCCGAATAATTACCGCTAAATTTCAAAGGCAGTCAGCATGGCAGTGGGACCCTAATTGAATACATATAATTTGTGGTGGGAAATGATTGTGGATGAAAATAATATCAAGGGGGATTGCCTGCTCCTTTACATATTGAGGGACACTGCACACACTTTTAATTGATTTTCAATGTATTTTTGGCGGCAAACATGCAAACCGAGCAGCGGAAAGCTATGGCCCAAACTAAATGTTAGTCCATTCGAATTGAATTAAAATAGATCAATGGATTTTAGTTGGCTGGAACTATAAGAGTGTTACGTCATCAGCATAAAAATCAAATTTAATTCTGTAGAAACATGAAAACAAATGTATGAACGGGAAATATTTGAAAAGCGACACGGAACACAAAAGAAAAACAAACCACTAAAATAAAAACAACAAAAATATATCTATTCATATAATTATTTGTGAATGGTGGGTGACTAGCTCTGGGAAGCATAAATTATGCGCTAAGCTCTTTTCAAACTGACAAATTTTTTGCGCTGCACTGGCACTGCCACGGGATTATGTTGACTTCGGGGGGAATGATTTGTGGAATTACTCGGAGTAGGACGGGTGCTCCAGCATTTTTAATGAAGCCACTTCCTGGGTGGGACACACCACAAAATAAATTAACGACATGTCAGAGATGTTTTGGGACATTTCCTAATTCAATGTGGCAGCCATTGAAGATGAGCTTTTAATGGGGTTTGTTTTCGAAAAGTGTGCCATACTTAACCCGTTTGATCAATGCCCCAATACAGTTGCTGTCTCTCTCTTTCTCTATTTATTTAATAGAATAACTGTTCTTGCTTTGGGTACAGCTACAGTAAAGTGTCTCTCGGTGAATGCCCCCGCTTGTGTTCTCAAAGTTTCTCCTCGAATGGAAAACCACTGGGAACATTGTTGCAAAGACAATGAAGAGTATCCTTCAGTAAAGATGTATCTATGCACCACACCATATGCCATACACTTTGGTCCTAGCCACTATTGTGCTATCTATTGAATGAAATTATGTACACATATGTATATATGTACATACTACGTGTCAGCTGAAGGAAACAAACCACAAATATATATTTGAGAAAGTGTATCCATGAGAGTCTGTGTAAGTCTACAGCATACGTGCATGCAATTTGCTGGTTGCCTAGTGTAAGAGCAATTCCATAGTGTCTGAATAGTGGCTGAAAACACTGGCAATGGCGACAATCCAAAAAGTGGCACACACAAAGCAAATGCCAAAACGTACATCGATGCAGTGGGCGGGCAGACATGGACACAGATGCAGATGGTGCTGCAGGTGCTTATGCAGAATGTGGCGGCACTGTTGTTGCAAGTGTTGCTGTTGTGGCTGCTGAGCCAGACAGGGATAGAGATAGAGAAATTCCAAGTATTTCGACTGTTTTGATGACATTCGCTGGGTAATGGGAAAAGAGGGGAAATGTTACCAATAAAGTACATTTTTTTTTTTTATTTTATCTTTGTTGTTGAGGTTGGATTTGGTTTTGGAGTGGATTTATTTACCGGCCAGATACAACAAAAACGAAATGAAAGCAAGTCGAAGTTCATATGTATGTTCTTATGAGCAGAAAATAAGCAGCCAATAAATATGGCTTGCTTTTATCCGTTCGAAAGTCAACTTATTGTTTCTCTGATAGATACACATTCCATTCCACCTGGCTGTACGGAACATAATGCCTTATATGTATGTTCAAGTGCAATTGAATCAAGATAATACCTTTCTTAGTAGCAGACATGAAGAAGATTTTTTTAATATTTATTCTAATGCTCGCATATAGATAAAACTATAATATCCTTCTCCATTTTAGAGTATTACAAGAATGGAATATATTGTAAATGCTGACAAACAATATTGGCTGGTAGATGGTGGTTGGGAGGCGGGTCATGTGAAAAACATGCATAGTTTTTATGCAAATATGAATGGCGGCTCTCAACACCCCACCAAAGGGTTTCCCGGAGGGAAATGCACCTGCCGTATGCCACGTACGCCACCTGGGGACCATCATCGTGCAGGGTCCGTGTGTCAAAGGGTGGGGTTGCATTTTGGCTGCTTGGAGTTTGAATTTCAATACAAAATGACAAACAACGGATGGACGAAGGTAGAAGAAAGGGGAATAGCAATGGGTGTTAGCTTAAAATGGTGGGAGGGGGGAAGGTTGTGTGAATGGGGAGGGGGTGTATGGGGTCGTGAAAGGGGTGAAAATGCACATACAGAGGAGAGGGGAAATCAGGTGGATACCAGTACCGTTTGTCTGCTCGTCTGCGTTTCTGTTTGGTAAATGCAAACTTTATTAGAACATTTCTTTGCAGGACCAACGAAAACTCCCCGCACATAAGCTTCCCACCCCTCAGCGCCGTTTGGTTTCTTTCCTCCTCCCTTTCTGACTTTAATTTCGTGTATTTTGCGATTTTAGTTTTGTTGAATGAATTACACTCTTGCCCCCAACAATAAAACACACAAAAACATGTTTCGACTTGTCTGCTCAGGTGGGGAACAACGACAGAGAGAGAGAGAGAGAGCAGGGAAATTGGTAGAGAGACCGAGTTCATGCGCTGTGCAGCAGAGAGATAATTTCCCAGTATAATATCCCATAACCGAAGGGGAGAGCATTCTAAAAACCCATTAATTTGAAATATTCTTAAAATATGAGTATTCAGTTGTGGATTTATATATTTTATATTTTATAGAACTTATCTTTTTAACAAACAAAAAGAGAGCCTAAGGAAACCCTTCCTAGAATTTACACTGTATTCCCCATTCCTTCAATTACGTTGGACACAATATCCATTTGAAAATTGAACAACAATTCGCATAAATAATAAATGCAATTGATGGTAATGGTAATGGTAATTGTGTCCCTACGCTCAATAAACATTCCACAAAAAGGGACATTATCACCTCATTGGAATAAATTAAGGCACTCGCAGTGCCACGACATTTAAAGCCCCATCAAATGCGATGGCCCCAATGGGCCCCAAATGGAGCATAAAGCTAAAACCTGGCCAGCAGCATTGTCTAAGACAAATGGCGGACAGAGTGTCCTTTATAATTGACCACAAGGTGGGCGCCGCAAAGGGGCTGACGCCACAGAGGGTAAGTGGTCACCCGTTGTGGTCGTCATTCATGCAAAATGGACAATTATTATTAACTGCAATAAATTTCACGCACGCACAATTTACATACCGGAGGCACGCGAGCGTATCGAGGGGCAGCAGAGCCACAAAGGACCGACCCTAGGACCCACTTAGACACAGACAGAAACGCTTGGACATGCCCACCACCACCCAGCCGCACACACACACACACACACACACACTCGGACGACAGGCACAGAGACACGTACAACTCACTTAAGTGCAACATAATTGCGGGACAAAGTTTTGTCTATGGCGGGGAGTGAGGTGAGTATGGGGGGCTGCTGCTCTACCTGGACGTGGATCGTGGCGTATGGTGTCTGGGGTCTGAGGTGGTGGCCAGGGGTAATTGCCATTGGGGTCCACATGTCAGTGGCAATTATGTTTTCCACAGGGTGGTGAGGGGCTTAAACTAAAGCTCCGATCAGCTATTGACCATCCCCTCCCACCCCTGCCCCACGCACACTCAATGAATCGATAGTTGGTCATTGTCATTGCTGCGAGTATTGCCATCCCTCGTGGTTGTACATATGTCGCACGAGTGTGTAGTGTAGTGTGTTGTGTGGCCGCAGCCATTAGCGTGTTGTTTAATTGAATTGTAGCAATTAAAGTGCTTCAATTGGTTTTAATCGGAAATTGAACTCATTGTTCTCTCCACAATGGTAAAAGTCATCCGAGCTGTCGTCGTTCTGTTATGTTCTCTTCTGTCATGTTCTGTTCTATTCACACACACACACACACACGCACTCTTTGGATGGCTTTAGATGGGATATTGTAGACAAAAGGCCGCCTCATTAACGCTCCCATTCAGCCATTCAATCCCATAAAGGAAATGTGCAATACATGTGAATAAACCTTGCGGTCTTAAAAGGCCCCACAACAGCAACAGACGCCATCAAAAGGGAACTATAATTACAGCAGACCGTACTGGGAAACTGCAAGAGAGTTCAGATATAATTTCTCTATTAAATGATAGTTAAGATGATGGCCAAGCCCAACCACACATACAAATGTACATTGTACACATGCAAAACATATTCAAGGTGCTACCATTATAAAATGAATTGCCTGAAGTTGTCTGTCTTATCTGCTAGCAGCAGGTGCTTAGACTCTAAGCCTTATGAGCAATGCTTAACGTAGCATTTAGGCAAGAGGTCTCTGTTTACTTTGAATCAAATCTTTGCTTCGTTTGATCCATTAAAACCCTTTTATTCGATTTTTGGTTAACTTTTGATCTTATTCCACACGGTAACATCAACAGTGACTGTTAAATGCACCTACACATACATATGTACATATTTATGTGCAATATTTTCCCCCATGTAAGAGGGTGGGCTCTGGCTGTCCCCAACAACAATTTCCAGCTCAAAGCTCAACAGGCTGTTGACTGTAGGCTTTTGTTGTTGCCAGAGCACTAGAAAATTTCCCGCAACAGAACGAAACGGCTCTCCCCCAAGTGGTGAGGTACTTTCTCTCGCTCGCTCGCTCTCTCTCTCTCTTTTTTGTATCACTCTCATTTTCCCCTCGTTTTGGGGAAACACTCTCTGGGTTATTTGATGTCATTGGCGGTGGGGGGTGCGAGGTGGTTGGTGCCACCAACACACGGCTTCTGTTGTCATTGCCTGCCGCAACATTTTCTCAGTACGCGAAGAACTCTGAACGCAGGCGGTTGGTTGCTCTTGGCTCTTGGTAGATTTTCTCGATATTTTCTCCGTTTTTGCTCTCGCATCGCAAACGCTGGCTCCTGGTCCGCGCCAAAAGTCCAAATCGAAGAATTCATCAGCATAAAAGTGGAGACAACGACAACGAGGGGAGAACAGAGTCAAAGAAACCGAAAATAAATATGTGAGTGCGTGTGCGTGCTTGCCTCCGTCTGTGTGTGTGTGTGTGTGCGCGTATGTGCGTTTATTTTTAAGCACCGGCCCCAAAGGCAAATGTGAAGTGCAAGCGAGAAGGGAAGTCAAAACCAAATCAGAAATAGCCCCGCCGCCAAGGATAGAAAGAGAGAGGGCGCGCCGCAAGCACAGCACCGCAACAAACACCGTTTGACAGAATGAGAGCGCAGCCGAACACAAAGTCGGCCGCCCAGTGGCCGCCCCTCCTCGGGCTCCTCGGACTTATCGGGATCATCGGGATCCTCGAGCCCACAGTGGCAGCCGCCGCGAGCAGCGCCTATGGCGCATCCTTCATCTCAAATCCGGGAATCTATGCCTACTCCGTGGCCAATCAGCAGGCGCCCAGGGACAATGACATCAAGTTCGCCTCCACCGCCGCCGGCGGCGCAGCAGCAGGGGCGCAATCCTCTGCAGACTCGAATTTGAACCGCAATTACTACTACACCAACAACAATCCTGAATCTCTGGCTGAGGGCCTCTCCGCGAGCTCCTCGCTTAACGCTCCCCCACCCACACAGCCAGCCCCGCAGACGGGCTGCACTCTGGACCGCCTGGCCGTCTACAAGGTGGTCCTGCACACCTACTGGACCAGGGAGCTATTCCCCAAACACTATCCCGACTGGCGACCCACCGCCCAATGGACCAAGACTTTAGGTGAGTGGATAATTGTTGAGTATAAATGGGATGGATTCTTGGGATTTTAAATCAAATTGTGTGGATAGTCGCTGAGGACGCTGCAGTAAAATATGCGCTGTAGGAGTAAGAATGAATACCCAGAAGGAAAATGAAATAAAATGCATGAAATGCCAATGTAATTTGTATTTTGTATTTGTATATGTATTGAGTACTCTTGAATCGTAATTGTACCTGTAAAAGTGCAGTTGCTGCAGTGCAGCCATTTTCCCCAAGATATTTTCCCCAATTAATCCAATTTTCACCAATCAATTTGTATTGCCATTTGGTTGTATTCGCAGTCATGTGTTTGCCTCTTCATAAATACTCGTATGTACAGATGCAAAAGCAAAGAAATTTCTGTTCATCAATTATCTTGGAGATTTTATTGAAAATTGTGCAAAGGATTTTAACAGAAATTAAACAACAAAAAAAAACCAAACCCATTAAAATTCCAAATGTTTGAGTCAATTAAAAAGGGGAGCAAATTTCGACCAAAAATAGCCAGTCCAGTAAAATTTGGCCGAATTTCTCTGCTGAAAATTGGGCCAAACTTGACATGTTTTTCCCATTCACTCACTCTCGCTGTTTCTCTCACTTTTTCTAGCTCTGTCTCTGTCTGACAGGCAACCATCCGTCTCTCACTGTGTTTATTACTCAATCATAAAGGGAAATCGAGCAAAACGATAAGAATCTCATAATTTGTGCACAGCACAGCAAAACACACAAGCAAAAACAGAGACGGGGAGATCTAAAGACTAATTTGTCACAATGCTCTCCCTCTCTCTCTCTGTCTCTGTCTCTGTGAGATTTTCACATTCGAATTTGCGAGTGTGTGAGAATAAATCGAAAAGCAATTTCCCTGGCAGTTGGCTAAACATTTTCGGTTCGTTTTGTCGATATTTTTGGGTTAAATCACATAGGAAAAGGCCTTGCCAAATCGGTGGACAATTGGAGGGGACGTGAGGGGGAGAATGGAGAATGGAAAATGCCTTTGGCCGCATTGGCATGTCGCTTGTCTTATCAATGTTTTTGCAGATTTAGCTGTCGATTTATAGCGAACGAACACACAGGCACGCACATATACTCGTGCAAAGGACGCAGGACGACCCAGAGACAGAGAGACACAGATAGAGAGACAAGTAAATCTGACAGCTAAACAAGCAGGGCGCACAGACAGGCAGAGGCACACACACAAAGGCGCTAATAAAAAAAAGGATAAGCAGGAAGCCGAAGCAGAGAGCCGCCTAAGAAATGCGATTTGTACGTGCTTATGCGCTATATGCTGGTCTCAGCGCAAAACAAGAAATTGGATAAAGTTGCTAGCAGACTCCCGACTGCCTGCCACACACAACTCATCCTGGGAATGCTCTCATGCCCCCTACCCCTTCCCAGATCAGTCTTGTAGAACGGTGGGGAGGCATTTGATGTTTTGATTTTCGCCTTGATGCACTTGATTCAAGAGTTATTCCCATCTTGGGATCCACTAAAGCTAGCTTCAACATCATCTAACCCTAATATTTTTGTGTGTGTTTTCTCTGGGAGGAGGCTCTCATATGACTAATTAAGGAGCATTATGGTGGGGATGCCCCACCTATCCTGTTTGCTGCATGCATTGCCTGCATTGGACTTTGCTTGTTGTTTATAGTGTCCTCTCCGTAATTTATAGTTTTCCCTTCTTGTGGCTCTGCCTGTGCTCTACACACACAGTGCGTATGCGTGATTTATGCATGGCTCTGCACTTGTGTTTATCCCCCCGTATAAAATATAGCAAAAGGAGTAATACTTCTTTATAGCCTACGTTATTATGCACATGGCAAAAAAACTTGTCGTATTTATTGCTACTCCAGCACTTGGGCTTCAATTGAGCGTTTATCTACGGGCGAGGGGAAGTGCATAAATGTTACCTTGGGGGATCCGCTTGGTTCTACATTCTGTGCAAATATAGCCTTGCATATCCTCCGCCATATTTGCCACATTCCGTATGCATTCTTGGATGCAGAATAGTGCACCTCTACCACTCCCGCTCCCTCCCCAGCCACCCAGTGGCTCTTGTCACTTCCCAGTGAGCTTTTATTCTCCATGACAACCATTTAGTTTTGGCCGTAGGCGGAACCGAACGAAGTCCTGTTCTTAGTCCTACTCTAAGAACAGGGTCCAAGGATGAGTCCGGAATGCCATTTGGCATTAAAATTCAAGCAGCAACGAGGAAAGGAAAAGAAAAGCAGGAAAAAACGAGGCAAAAATGGGAGAAGCGAGTGGCGAAGGAGTGGGAGTTGGCAGCGGGTCAGAGGGCAACGGCTTCCTGCCTCTGTCATATCCTGTTTGTATATAAATTTCAGTGCGCAACTCTAACATCCGTTGGATTTCAACTGCTGGGCACAAGAAATAAAACCCCCACGGAGGAAAAGCAGAGTTCCCCCTTTGTTTTTGTGACGCTGTCGAAGGAGGTCGAAGGAGCAGCAAATTTATTATGAATGTTCCAAAAACAAGCAGCAGCGACAGCAATTGCAACGGAGTCCCGTCCCCGGCGACCAAGTGCATTGCATTTCTTGTATCTTTTGTGCTGCAGGTCGCCCCCAGTGTCGATCCTCTGTCGCTCTGGTGGCCCCCCTCCTGCTCTCCATTCATGGTTGCTTTTCCTCGTTTTCATTGCTTTCCTCCATTCGTGAGTTTGAGTTTTTAAATTTCATTTGTGCCGCTGACGCTGCATCGGCCTGGACTCGGCTGTTGTCGCTGTTTTTATCGCCAAATTGAAACTGAAATAAAGTTTGCCTCCTGCTGAATATTTGTTTTATATTCCGCTTTGTTTCCACTCTCTCTGTCTTCTGTTTTTTTTTTGCGCTATTGCTTTTGCTCCTGCTGCTGCTGCTTTTCAGCACTTTCTGGTGCCTTGTCACACTTTTTGTTCGGATTCAAAAACTCTTTTCGTAAAAGAAACAGCAGTAGCAGTGCAGTTTTTTTGTTGCTTTTTTGTTTGGCCTTAGACGACTTTCGGTTCATGTTTTTGCCATTTTTATTGCATGTCGGGGGCTTTTTGTTCAGCGTTTTGCAAGCCAAAATGAAATGTTGCTTTCTGGCATGTTTCATCCGCAATCGCAGCCCGCAAAGCCACTGAAAGAAGTTTGAAAGGGTTTTCCGAGCGTGAAGAAATCAATAAAAGGATAACAGAGAAGGAACTAGAGGATAAAACCACAGGGACGGACTGCTAATACGATACAATGTGCAAGATATCCTCCATGGATAGACAGATATGAAAGCGGGTTTTCCTTTTCTCATACTTTGTATTTTCACCATTCCTTTTTCGCTCAGTGTATGCCACACGTTGGCTTATAGTTGATGGATTTTACTGGTTAGATGCCCAAAATTAATTGAAATACAAATAAAGAGAACGTTGATTGGAAAGTGGGGAGGTCAGGATTAGACTTGATGTGCCCCCTGGGAGAAACAAAAGAAAATCCATGCCAATTGATGGTCCCGTTCCACAAACTGAACGTTGCAGAAGCCTTGACTCTGCGGCTCGTTGCTCGTTAATTGCCTGCGTCCGTGGGGCAATTATCCTGGCCTGCTGTTGGTATTGTTGCTGAGGCTTGAGAGATGTGCGTGCCTCTTAGTTGGGTGTTGAATGCTGCCGCCTTGGCCTGTGGCACTTTCACGCCTCATATTTTATTGTGCCAGGGGTCGCATGGCTCTTGGCTCTCGGTTTGAGCTCTGCCTAATTTTTGACTCTCGTTTGTCTGGCAAATAAATTATCCTAAAGAGAGAGAGAGAGAAAGCGCCGCGCACAAATGTATGTTGCATACATTATACATGAGGCAGTCCACACCTGTGTTTGTGTGTGTGTGTGTGTGTGTGTGTGGCATAATTCATAATTTATGCAACACCAGAAACACACTCCGCCCGTTGGCTCACAATTTGATTTTCTTTATTTCATTTCCTGACTTTTTGCTCCTCGCTCATAACAAAACTTTAAATGTTTGTAATTTTTTACACGCACACACTCACAAATAGGGGGGGTAAGAGACTCAGGGTGGGTGGTAGCATGTACAGTGAAAAATATGGAGAACAATGTTTTCCCATGACAATTTCTCCGGGAGCATCCTTTCCATTGTCTATTGCCGCTAATGCAGAAACCATGTTGTTTGTTTCGGTGCAACATTCAGCAATAAAACTCGTGTAAGTGTTGTCGGTGGAAATTGAAGTGTAGTAATAAATTTCTGATATTTAATTAGGATTAGAATTTGATAATAAAATCTCAACAGCATAGAACAGGATTCGATTGTATTCGACATTCGATTCGACATGTATAATGAGAGAAAGAGAGACTCCCATGAGAGAAAGTTGGTGTAAAATGAGGCAGAGCAGAAGATTGAAGCCACCTGCCACAGTTAGCGATTGTTTGGCAGTTAACCCCCTGATTTCTGCTGCTTTCCTTTGGTTGAATGTCTCCTATTATATTAAGTTTCCCGTTGTAACCACTTGCTGAAATCTGTTTATCATTGAATGTCTTGCAAACCTTGCAGCACACACGCATACAATGATTAATTCACTCGTAAGTTACGCATAGATAATAGTTTTACTCCGCACTGAAAGCCTCGAACCATTCAAGTTTTCCTTTCGCTGCGGGTGAGAGAGGAGTGCTCGAAACATGCTCCCCCTCCACACGTCCGCCCTATATCGTGGTAGGAGGCATTACACATTCATAATGCTTCTCCCCAAGACAGAAAATGGAGATGGGATATTCCTGGCATTCTTGGGAGAGCGAGAGATGCCGCTGACAACGCAATTTCCTTGAAACGGCGGCTTTTACTTCTACCGCTGTTTCTGCTGCTGCTGCTTCAGCAAGAACGGTATATTAATAATAAATGAAAATTCTTGTTCTCATTTTACTGTGTTTTGAGAGTGGAGCGAAGGACTTTGTACCTGGGGCTCCACCTGGAGTGTCTTTTCCGGCTACTTTTCTGGCTGCTTAGTGCCAGCTC